ACCATGTTGTATTATGGATTTTTGTGGTTTATAGGTGGAAGAAATTGTTTCCAAGATTTTCTGAGAGGGTAGACAATGTTCCTGGACCTTCAGCTGAAGCTACAACTTAAATTGTTACTTTTCTGTGGCCTTTTATTATTCCTCTCCCTTCCATCCATTTGGGATTTGGCTAAATCTCAAATAGCATCAAATATTAAATTAAGCAGACAATAGTTCTTAGAGTTTTTAAAGGTATCTACTGGGAAAGGTCCTTAAAAGTTTGAAAGTGAACAAAGGCATCTGTACTATCAGTTTACATATACAAGTTAGCATGACAACTTACATATACCAAGAACAGAGAAAAGGTTTTTGATAAGGATTAATTTTGTGTCAAATCATGTCTTTTTAGCAAATACATAAAAGACATGGTACAGCATCTAATACAGAATACAGTGAAGTCATCCTTCCAGTAGTCACTTTTCTACTAATGTGTGTAATTGTATCTCCCTCTTGTGGCCTTTTGGTGAATTGTAAAAGCTGGAATTTCCAAAATTAAAATCAAAATGTAATTATTTGATAAACTGAAAAATGATGATTACGAACCGAAGGAATGGATTACCCAGCTTAATCAGCCTTCTGCCTTAGGGAACACCATTTTTAATCAGTTTAGAAGTCTTCCAGAGTATATTCTCTAGGTTGGTGAAATAATTATCAGTAGGTGAAACATAGATAAAGACTAATGTTTAATTGTTATCACTTCTCCAAGAAAAAGACTGTGAAGATTATAGGCCATTTGGCTTAACGTAACAAAATTTACATAGAATTTAACAGAAATGTATTTCTCTGTATACTTGTATTTCCTCAAGTCCTTAGATCTCTTCTACCATCTAGGGTCACCAAACTTCTTGGGTAATGCTGAAACTACCATGATTTTGAATTTAGTGCAAATTTAGTGACACATGCTAGCTGTATGATCCTGGACAAATCACATAACCTCTTCTCAGTGCTGTAGGAAACTCTCTGAGATCACATAAATTGTTCAAATGACAAGTGGTCAAAGGATATGAACAGGTGGTTTTCAAAGAAAGAAATCCAACCCATCAATAACTATAGGAAAAAATATTACAAATCACTAATTCAAGAAATGAAAATTGAAACAATTTTGAAGTTCCTTATATCCATAGGATTAGAAAAGTTGACTAAAAAAGGAAAATGATTAATATTGGAGGGGTTCTGGAAAAATTGGCACGTTATTGCACTATTGGTAGAGTTGCTAATTGGTATAGTCATTCTGGAAAGCAATTTAGAGCTCCATGTCCCTAAAGTTACTAAACAAGGCATATTTTCTGACCCAGAGAAACCACTACTAGTCTTATCTCTGTACCTCAAAAAGATTTTTTTAAAAAAGAGGAAAAAAACTTACATATACAAAAATACTTATAGTAACTCTTCCTAATGGCAAAGAACTGGAAATTTAGAGTGTCCATCAGTTGAGGAATGGCTGAACAAATCTACTGTGTCCTAAGAGAGAAAACAGAAGGGATGGGTGCAGAGAAACTTTAGAAGACTTGTATAAATTGATGCAGAATGAAATGAGCAGAACAATCTACACAATAACAACGTTGTAAAGATCAACATCTTTGAAAGACTTAATGTCTCTGATCAATGCAATGAACAACCATAATACAAGGGAACAATAGCGAAGCATGTTCCCCACCTCCTGACAAAGAGGTGATAGACTTAAGATGCAGAATGAGACTCATATTTTTGAACATGACAATTATGGGTTTTTTGTTTCAAAGGTTTTATTTTTTTGATAGGGTAGAGGAAGGAGGCAAGAGGAAGAGAAGATAAATATTTATTAATTGGTAATAAAATAGATAAATAATAACAACTTTAAAAAAGTCTATTAAGTTGCAAAGAAATTGCTGATCTATGTTGGTAGAGAGAATTTCCTCATTCTCATAGTACTTAAGTACAGCTCGAATTCTTGTCCCTATAAGAACATAGTCCTAGATTAGTTTACACTTTTTCCTCCCAAACATAGATTGCTTTAAAATCTGAGTGTGCATTGCAATTATTTTTCAGTCCATATATGTATATTATATATATATATATATATATGATATGTAGAGATTTATAACATCTATCTATAGATAGCTCTACATCCATCAGTCTCTATCTAGCTCCTTTAGGTGTCTGGCTTATGTGGAGTAGCCTATATTTAGTTGGATTTATTAATTATTAAATAGGCACAGAAGTTCCAACAACAAAGTTGACAGGGCCAAACTTAATTTGCTGTTGTATTAGACCAATACGGATTCACAATCTTAAATGAATTTCTTTTTCTTTAATGCTAGTAAGAAGATGTTACAATGAAGTGTCATCAGAGCATGAAAATATAAGTCTAGCAAGAGAAATCAGTCTTCTGGAGAAACATAAAGCATCTTATCTACGGCCATTTAGCCCTTTCATCCTAGATGGAGGCACTGAAATCCAGAGAGAAGAGAGTTTCCCAGGTTCAGGAGGTTAGATAATAGTCAAAGCTGGAGGATGGTAGGATCCTGACTCCTAGTCTGGGCTTTCCAGTGTGTTCCTACTTAGGAAAAGTGAAAGTGTATGTATTCTTGGCTTCCATTACAGCTAAATACAAGAACTTTTATTACAGGCAAAAGCAAAAAAAAAAAAATTTGAGCTTTATAGAGCTCCTGAAGACCTATTGAGACAGCAGCTGCACTTCCTCTTCTGTAGCTGCTGGGAGACATGGTTTGTGTGCATTTTTGTCTCAAACCTTTCCAGTTTTCTCCAGGGTCCTTCATATTAATAATCACCCTTTCATCCAAGAAAACTCTGGCTTATAATATGTAAACAAATTACACAGAAACACAAACTAGTTCTATCATTGTTCCTGCCTTCCATTTAGAATGTCAGGTAAGAGAAGGCAGGTCAGACTTTATCTCTTTTTGTACCTATCTTTCTGTCTCGGTTGGTCTGTTCGTCTTTATCTCTCTCATTCCTTACCTCTCTGTCTTTGTCTGTCTCTTTTTCTAGGGATGTAAGAGAGTGTATGTGAGAGAACACAGAGAAGAGGGAAGAGAGAAAAATGAACAGATACAGAGAGACAAAGGTAAGGCAACAGAGAGAGGGACAAAGGCAAGGAGGTACAGAGAATTAGAAAGATTGCAAGATTGAGAGAGATTGAGATCGACAGATTAAAAGAGGGAGATCGACCCCTTTAGAATGCTTTAATTCAATTCAACCAACATTCATTAAGTATTTATTGTGCTCAAGGAACTTCGGATAAGCCAAAAACAAAAACAAAATATTTCCTAGCAGCTTACATTCAGTTTCTTAGAATACATGTTAAAAATATATAAAATCAAACATCAAAACTGGAATTTAGTCACACCTCTTTCCACCTCTTACACTGAAGACTTTATAAACTCTAAAAAAGAACGTTATTGCTATAACCCTAAGGGTATGAGGCCTAATGTATTGTTTTTCAAAATAGCAAGTTGGCTGGAATAAGTAGCAATTTGTGCCAGAACAAAAGATTGCTGGAAGATCAGTTTATTTTGGAAGGTGCTGAATGATTTTTGTTTTTGGGTAGTGTATTTCCCCAATCTGTCCTGATCATCACTGTCAAAATTAATTTTCCTAAAATGCGGCTCTAATCATGTCATTCCTCTGCTCAAAGACTTAAGCCAACTCCTCATTAATTATCCTCTTTAATCTGATATTTGAAGGCCTCCACAATCTGATTTTAATCTGATTTTAATCCAATTTTACCTGGGACTGTTTCCCTTCAAATATTTCACAATGGTCAGTTTTCCAACACTTCCTGCCCTTTCACTGCTTCTTATGTTTGGAGTTCCCCTCCTTTCCCTCCTAGCCATCACTGCACCACCTGCTGAAATTCTACTTATGCTTCAAGGCTAGGTTCAAATGCTTCCCCCAAACCTACATCAATCACTTTACCATTTTTATTTCTCCAGCCTGTTTTCATAGCACTTTGTATCCTCCTTACACTTCACTTTTGCATTTTATTGATTGGTATGCATTCCTCTTCTCCCTTACTAGATTAGAAATTTCTTTAGCGTTTCTTTCAGAACTTAGACCATTTATAGCAAATACCAGGTGCTTGAAAAATGCTGAGTATTGAATGAAAAGGCCTGTAAGGAGTCAGAAGAACTAAATTCAAAGCCAGCCCTAAGGGGCACTACTGGAGACATCGGGTCAGTCAATTGATCTCTATGAACCTTAACTTCCTCACTTGTAAAATGAGGAATTAGAACTAGATGATTTCAGGTTTCTTCCAGTTCTTGATCTAAGTCACTTAACCCTGGTTTCCTTATCTGTAAAATTAGAAGGCTGTTCTACGTTATGCAATGACTAATATTGTTAAACTGAACCCTTCTCAGCATTACAAGGAGCTAAGACATCTCCAGAGGCCTCGGGATGGAAAATACTGTCCACATCCAAAGAAAGAACTATGGAAGTCGAATCGCTCTCACTTATTTTTACCTTCTGTTGAGTTTTGTTTCATCTTTCTGATGGTTCCTCCTATTGGTTTTAATTTTTACTTACAACTTCACTAATGTGAAAATATGTTTCATGGGTATGTAAATGTAAAGCCTATATCAGATCGTGCGCCATCTTGGGGAGGGGGGGGGAGAAAGGGGGAGAAAAAATTTTCAACTCAAAGGCATATGGAAGTGATTGTTGATCAATCAAAATAAATTAATAAAATTTAGAAAAAATAGAAAAAAATTAGAAGGCTGTTCTAAATATTTCGTCTCTAAGATTCCTTTCAGTTCGAAATTCTAGGATCCTGTGAAGCTCAGGCACCAAAACAAATAAAGACAAAGGAAAAGTAGCTGACTTGGAGCTGAGTGACCTTGGGTAAGTCAGTCTCTCTGGGTCTGTTTCCTCAGTCGAAAAAGAGGTAGCCAAGGCACTAGAAGCTCTTTCCCACGTGATCTAGAAATCTATGATGTTATAATAGTGCCAGGCTCTATCAGGAAAGGAGGGAGGAGAGACAATCCAAGGAAGCTGCAGTCACACACTCTCTCCGGAGAGAAAATAAAGAAGAAAGGGGGAAAGAAAGATTTGAAGTCCTCTCTATCTTTAAAAATCTATGACAAGGGAAAACGCGACGCAGCGGGAACAAACGATGGTACGTTGGTGGGAGGTTGGGGAGTTCTAAGCAGAGAATGGGGAGAAAATAATTTTCTCCAAATTCAAACTCCGCCTTTCACCGAATCGAATTCCCCTAGCTAAGAGAGAATATCTATTCTCTGAAAGGCGCTTGTCGGTACCAGCTGCAGCGGCTCCTGAGGTTGGAACTTTGGGGCGGCCACGGGGACGTTAGAGCGCCGGATTCTGTGGCTGCTGGGGAGAAGTGGGCGGAGTTATTCGGGTCCCCAGCCCACTGCCTCACTCCGGCCAGATTGCGTCAGTGGAAGGAAAGCGAAATTAAAGCCCAGGCTGGTCTCGGCTCCGGAGAGGAAGGCTTCTTTAGTGGAACCCGTGGCGTTCAGGAACCAGCACGCTTCTCAAGCCATGGCAAGTTATTTTTCCTTTGGCTTTCTCCTTGCACACTGCTCCCTTCTTTTTCTCTCCCCTTTTCCCCTCCCCTCTCCACGCTTTCCCAATCCGGAGCATCTTTTCTTCCTGCCTGCTACGCTAACTCACTCCTTTAAAAGACGAGAGATCTGGGCAAAGCTCCTTGGCATAATTTGAGCGAAGCAGAAAGGGCAGGCTGTCAGATTGGATGAAGAAGGTCCAAGGGATGGAGACGAGGGAAGTGTCAGTAGCTTGGCTTTGAACACTGGGCCTGCATGAATGGCAGGCTAAGCCAGGATACATTTCCTGACCCCCAGTTAATAAAAGAGCTCTGGGAACCCCCTGCTAGTGATCTGGAAGCGATCTTGCTGTTGTGTTTAGCATTCTGCAGAGGTCTTTGTTTGAGTGCTGTAGTTAATTCAATTCGTGTTCGGATCACAAACAAACGTTCTCCAAAATAGAGTTCTCTGGTTGCTAAGATGATGTGCACACAACAAAAATGGCAACTCCTGGAAGAATTTAGGTCTTAGCTTATCCTCTAGGCCCGAGATTTGTCAGCAAAACAATGCTTCTGATTGGTCGACCGTGCATTTGCGGAGTTTAACCCCTTCTAGACCCCATCATTTTCAACATTAAGGTGTGATATCCAGGGCTGCTTTGCAACTGGAAAGAGCAGTATAAATTTTGGTTAAAAAAAATAAGCCTGGGGCGGGGGGGTCAGAACTTTGATGTAGTTGGTGCAGAATTGCGGTGAGAGAGTGTGTGTGTGAGATTTGCAAAAACATCAGGCAAACCCAATTTCTCATTACAGCACTCTTGAAAGTCCTTGCCCAAATGCAAAAAAAGTAATTAAATTCAACTAGCCCATAATATATTATTTCACCTCAGGTATTAGCTCCTTCTCATGTTTCTCAGATGTTAGCCTTCTTTGACTCATCTAAGGATTTTCTCCCTTCTTAATTTTCCTAGGACCCTTTGCCTGGATCTCTCCTTTACCTTAATCACACTTTCCTTTTATATTATGTCTACAGTTGAATATAAGTTATTTATCTCCTTGAGGACAAGCACTGTTCTGTTTTTTGTTGGTTTGTTTTTGAACTTCTATCTTCCACCAGGAGGCAGCCATGAAAATTCTTCCAGTGGCTGTTATAAGATAACAAATTATCTTAGCCATCCACTTTGGATTCCTCTTCTCTATCTCTGCTGGCTGGTCTATAATGCTCTCTCAAGGCTCTGTTCTGGGGCACTTTTTTATTCTTCAAGGGTTCTTAATCTGGGGTCTGTTTACTAAAAAAATTGATGACTCTTTATAAATAGATTCCTTTGTAATACTATGTATTTTATTAATCTAAAACATTCCGAGGAGTCCATAGGCTTGGAATTAAGAATTAAAAAGGTTGATAATCCCTACATACTTATACTTGGTGACTCTTATTTGATGATTCCTAGTGTTTAGGTTTGAATTGTCCTATCAGGACTGAAAGCTTTTTAAAAGTATTGTTTATGAACTCCTTTATTCTCCAAGCTAACAGTTACGGTGAAGTGAATGTCTTTAGCAATGCTGGGGAAACCGAACTGATTTCTAATCTCTGGGTTTGTTTCTCCTCTTCTTAAATAATTTTTTTATTGCTACATTTTGTTTTAACTTCCACTAACCCAAAGAAGTATTCAAATATATGAACAAGAACAAAAGAAAGATAGTAAGAGAAAAAACATAATCAAGAACAAAAATTGAAATAACTACTAATAAAAACCAAAACAAAACCCAAATACATTGAATAAAGGCACAGAAAAGTGATTGTGAATGAAGTTGCTCTTTTGGTAGTGCTTTGCTCACTCATCATTGTGTAATAAATATATTTGCACAGTTCTTTGCAGTCTTTCTACTTAGCCTTCCTTATAGTGAAATGATATTCTATTAATTTCATATCACAGTTTACTTAGCTATTTCTCAATCCTTGGGCACATCATTAAAATTTTTTTTTTTGCTGCTACAAAGTGTTACGATGAATATTTTTGTATAGATGTGTTTTATCTTCCTAACACTAACCTTCTCAGGTGAATCAGTCAGTTAATAAGCATTTATTAACCACTTACGATGTGCCAGGCACTGTGCTAATCCCTGGGAATACAGATACAAGCAAAAGGAGCCCTGCCCTCATGGAGTTTATATTCTAATGTGAAAGACCATACATAAAAAAGAAGCTGAAAAGGGATAAAGAGATATATGATAGAGAAATCCAGAGGAGTTCAGCCTGATAGGAAATGAAGATTTGGCTGGATTGGGCATGTTCCTCAAATGGAGGTTCTGGGAAGTCCCCCCTAATCTGAAGGAGGCCTCAAGGTCAGAAGGCCCTTCCAAGGTATATGTTTCAGGGCTGAAGTGATTTTCAAAGATAAAAAGATTTCTGAGCATAGTAGAGAAGGCCAGAGTTATGCAGTTTGGTGGGGAAAAAAGGTATGCCTTAGGGTATAAACCTTATAAGTGGGATTATTGGGTCAGAGGATATGAATGTTTTTGTGTGGGCTTAATTTTTGATGGAGACTTGGAAAACTTCCACTAAGAAAGGTTTTCACAGCACTTGAAGGGATAAGATGAAGAATTGTCATATACTTTACAGTAGCTGATTGTTGATTTCTACAGGGTAGGTGTATGAGTCATTGCTGCCAATCTCTGGAGTCCAATGGCTGGCAGTCCTTAATCTCCAGATGGTACCCCAGGTATCCCTAAGCAACTTTGGATACCAGTCATGTAGATGTAGTTGGTCTCCATCTTGAGGGTATTTTCTTTCTTTCTTTTATTTTTGGTGAGACAATTGGGGTTAAGTGACTTGCCCAGGGTCACACAGCTAGTAAGTGTCAAGTGTCTGAGGCCAGATTTGAACTCAGGTCCTCCTGACTCCAGGGCCTGAGCTTTATCCACTGCTTGGCCTAGCTGCCCCTTGGGGTTATTTTCAATAGTAAGATTAGTTGCACTTTCAATGAATATCCCTTTTTATTATACTGAGTTCTTGGTTTACATCATTTGCAGAGAATTCAAGGAGGAGGTCAAATGCCATTTAGGTAAAGCTTGTATTTTTTAAGGTACATTATCCCATTTCTTACACAGGCATCAATTCACAGTGAAAATAAACCTGAAGCATATGAAAGGACAATTGTGGTTTCTAATGTCCCTGTTGGAAATTTTAATGATGAAGCCATGGCAGATATTCTGAGGCGTTATTTCCAGAAGGCTAATAACAAAGATGGAGACGTAGAAAATGTAACATATCCAACAAGAATCAAAGGAGTTGCATTTGTGACATTCAAGGAAATAAAAGGTATTTCAAGATTTACTTCTTCCAAATTGAAAAAAAAATTTACAATAAAATGAAAAATCCATTGAAATGCCTCAATGGATTTGGTAAATCATTGATAACTTTCTTCTTTCACATAATTGCTTAAATTAAGTCAAAGAGAATACCAAAGAAATGTGATTCAACCTGGGAGATGGAGAACAAAAATGTTTAACCAAGAAAGGGAAACCCAAGGTAAGTGAAGAGATAGTAAGATAGCACCTAGTTACTTCTGCTGAATTCATGTCACCAGGTCCTTATGAGCTACATGACAGGATATAGAAATAACCCACTGCCAGTGATCTCTGAAAATTCTTCGGAGTCCTACAGGTTTGTGTGTATGGCAAGTTCAACATAACTTGGAACAACAGGATATAGTAACTAAAACAACACTGGAATAAGCTACCTTTATTTATAAAAACAAAATGTACAGAATAAAGTTAGTAGTCCTAATTAATTCTGCCCTGGTCAGACCCAACATGACAGGTATGGATGCCCTATATAAGGAATTTGAACTCACATCCTCTGTTTCTAAATCCAATCTTATTTCTACCATACCACTCTGCCTTCCAGGCACATCTAAGCTGTTGGCATATCTTGTCATTTCTACTTTTACAACATTTCCAAATCTACGCAGCCTTGAATAAGCTCTCACCCCATTTCCCCAGGACATTTAATCTTTTTTTTTTTTTTTGGTGAGGCAACTGGGGACTTGCCCAGGGTCACACAGCTAGTAAGTGTCAAGTGTCTGAGGCCAGATTTGAACTCAGGTCCTCCTGACCTCCTGACTCCAAGACAGGAGCTCTATCCACTGTGCCACGTAGCTGCCCCTTCTCCAGGACATTTAGAACAACCTTCTAATTAATCTTTCAACTTCAGGTCCCACCCCACTCCCTTATTCCAGCTAACTGTTAAAAATAATTTTCCTAAAGTGCAGACCCAATCTTGTCACTACTCACTAAACTTCACTGTATTGTAAGCTCCCTGAGGACAGGGACTGTCTGTTGCTTGTTTTTGTATCCTCACCCAGTGCTTAGCATAGTTGGAACCTTGGAAAACTTCCACCAAGAAAGTAGGTTTTTCACAGCACTTGAAGGGATAAGATGAAGAATTGTCATATACTTTACAGTAGCTGATTGTTGGTTTCTACAGGGTAGGTGTATGAGTCTTTACTGCCAATCTCTGGAGTCCAATGGCTGGCAGTCCTTAATCTCCACATAGCACCCCAGGTATCCCTAAACAACTTTGGATACCAGTCATGTTGATGCACTTAATAGTAAGCACTTAATAAATGTGGATTGATCCATTGATTTTTGATGGATGGATTTTTATTATCTCTAAACCCAAATCTAAACTCCTCTGTTTGGCATTTATAATCCTGTCCCAATCTGCCTTTCCAAATTTATGACACATTATTCTCCAGATACACTTTATGGGACAGTCAAATTGGCCTTCTTTTCTATCTTTATGTCTTTTTCATTGATTGTCCCCCATGCTTGGAATTCACTCCCTCCTTAACTTCCTGTCTTAGAATCCCTACTTTCCTTCAAGACTCAGCTCAGGTGACACCTTCTACATGAAGCCTTTTTTTCTGTACCCACAACCAGTAGTGCCCTCTGTCCCAAACACTTTATATCTATTTTTAAAAATAGACATGTTTAAATATGCACATATTGTCACCACTGGCAGTATGTAAGCTTATTACGGTTGGAGGCTGTTATGTTTTTGTCATCATATCTCACCTGCCTAGCACAAAACCTGGCACATGGAGTGTGCTTAACAAATGTACATTAATTGGTTACAAGACCTTTCCAATTCTGAGATCCTGTGATTTTATGAAATAAAAATAGCTTTTCATTTGGGATAGACAGATACTTCAATACTAACGTAAGCTTATTCTGTATAACAACATTTTCCACATAGAGCATGCTTTTGGAAATGAGACCAAAAGTTCTACAAAATTGCTAGAAGTAATGAATGCTTAGTTTAGATATTTACTTTTGAGGGAAAAGTTGAAAACTGGCAAAACAGGTGAGAGAATCTATTTATTTTTTCCTACTTAGGTGCTGAGAACATCCTTAAAAAGGAGAAATACTGTCTAACAGAAGAGGGGCTACTTCCAACTTGTCTTACTGTATCTCATTTTAGTGAAAACGTGAGTATGTGCCTTATGCTAAGCGTGTTCCTGAAATTCCATCCCCTCCATGAAGCCTTTCATAGTGTGAACAAGTCCACAACAAAAGCTCATTCATCTTTCTCCTCAAACCCTCCCTTCTTTCATACTTCTGCAGTCCTGTCCAGGTACCAGCATCTTCCCAGTCATCCAGGCTTGCAGTCTTTGCATTATCCTTGCCTCCTCTTTTGCACTCACTCCATATGTCCAATATGTTGCTAAGTCTTATCATTTCTACCTTTACAGTATCTTTCATATATTCCCCCTCCTCTCCACTAATACAGCCACCACCCTGGTGCAGTCATTTTATCACCTCCTATCTCTATTATTGCAATAATCTTCTTTTTGTTCTCCCTGTCTCAAATCTCCAATCCATTCTCTATTCAGCCACAGTGCAGGTTTGACCATGTTCTTCCCCCAACCCCCTCGACTCAGTAAACTCCAATGGCTCTTTCTTGCTTTTAGGATCAAATATAAAATGCTCTATTTGGTATTTAAAGCTCTTCACAACCTTGCTTTTTTCTATCTTTCCAATATTATACTTTATTCCCTTTCTTGTATTCTACAGTGCAGTGACCCTGGCCTTATTCATCACTCACAACACTCCATTTCCCAATTCTCTGTCTTTTCATTTGCTGATCCCATGCCTGCAATAGTTTCACTGCCCACCCCCACATACTGCCTTTCCTGGCTTTCTTCAAAATTCAGCTCAAATCTTTTGCAGGAGACCTTTCCAGGTCCCCCCACACTTCCTCCTTCTTCTTCTACACTGGCAGTGCCTTTCCTCTTCTAGCTACTCTCTCTCTTTAGCTTGTATGTACATAGTTGTTTGTCTGTTGTGTTCCGCATTAGAATGTGAACTCTCCGAGGGCAAGGATCATGTTTTGCCTTTCTTTGTATCCTCTACACTAAGTACAATGCCTGGCACATATAAAGTGCTTAACAAATGCTTGTTCATTGACTGACTGACAGTCCACACAGCCCAAATTCATTCAAGGGGAAAAGTTTATACAGATTACAAATTTTCAGTCTTTAAAAATTTGACTTATACTTCTGAGGTATTATCATATGTGCTTTCTATTTATATTGATTAATTAAAAAATACAAATGTTTGGGTGGGGAGAACAAAGCCATTTCTGTCATAAGGTGATATTTTAGAAAAAGCTCAGAGGGTCTGGATAAATACAAGGTAGGGGCTTTGAGCAAGAATTCCTAAAACAAGAGGAGGTGAAGAAAAGCATAGGAGGAATTAAGGAAAACAGAATCTTCAAAGGCAACTTGATTTTAAAAATGGGTTCAGAATTTTGGCTTTGGTATACAATGTAATTGGAGATTAGAAACAGGAACTATGACAAGAATGTGATTGCATTACTTCAGATGAAAGCTAATTAGGCCTAGACTATGACTAAGTCAATAGACATAAGGAGGAAAAGTTGCACTTTGAATACAGCTCTTTTGAATACTTCCATTTCAATTTCTCTCCTTTCAAATTTTAGGTCATTCGTTGTGTTTTTGTTCACCTTGATTTATCCATTTTTGGAAAGGAAGTTATTGTAGAAAATCTGGTGACAGAACTTAAAGAGAAAATCCCATCCTTGAAATTCTACCTTGTGCAAGCTAATGGACTGGTCATTGTTAAAGGGTCATTTTTAGCAATCAAGAGACTAAAGGAAGTTCTGTTGTTAAAGGCCAGTTCTCTTCATGGAAACAACACCAATTGCGTCAGTCTGAAAGAAGAGAAGAAAAAGAAAACCTTTCCAGAATGGAGCACAGCTGTGTCCTCAGTCCAGCCTGCAATGCCAAAAACTATCGGAAACGAACAGATAATTGTCCTTGATACAGATGTATTTAAATACATGAAATGTGGTAACCAAATGTATGAAAAGGCTTTAAAATACTTTAATGTTGTGAGTCAAGAGATAGTTAATGATGAAGTCACCACAATATGTTTAAGAGGTTCTCAGACTGATTCTCATTCTGATCACTTGAAAAATGTAAAGGAATTAATTGAGGAATTTTCATATACTCTTTCCCTTGAGCTTCGAAAAGAAACATTATCTCTTGATGGAAAGGATATAAATGAGAGGAGGAATATTTGGTTGGCATGCCAAGTGTTGAAGCCACAGTATCCCCAGATTCTGGTTGAACATAATTCTAAGCATATTGATATCATAGGGAATGCTAGTGATACCTATCAATTCAAAAAACTTGTCATGAAGTTTGCAAGGGAAAAAGATAACTTTGGAAAGCACAATGACACTAGCTAAAATGTCCAAGGATTCTCAAATCTTTCACCACGACCAACAATTTCTTAGGAAAAGATAGATTTAAATCTATTCTTTAGAACACCTAAATGGTCATCATTATACTTCTGTCAGTATTATAAACGTGTAGAAAAATATGTATTGCTTCCAAGTAGAATGCTAACACAAATCATGCTAGATTGACACTTAAAGAGGTTTTAAAATCAGATCATCATTAATTAACAAATATCTATTATGGTAAGACTGCTTGATATTTGAACATTCTTTGTAATTTTGGGCATGCTATTCTTCTTTAGTTTTCCCCCCAAGGACTCAGTTTAAAAAAATATAGATTTCTATGAAAGTATTTTGTTTTTATATTGCTTACATTTCTTCCTTTATCTCTCCTGCTGCTCTCTCCCAGAGAGCCATCCTTATGACAAATAGGAAAAAAATAAAAAGGATGCAAAAAAAAATCAGCAAAACCAGTTAACATATTGGAAAAATATGACGTTGAATGCAATATTTCAAACACATGACAGCCACCACCTAGCCCTTCTCTCTAAAGGAAGAGCTAGTGAGGGGTCCTCTCATATTTCTTCTTTGGTGACAATTTTCATCATTATAATTTCTCTGAATTCAATTTTGATTATTTTGTGATTGTTCTTTCTATTTACATTGTTGTAGTCTGTGTTTGTTGTTTTTCTGGCTCTGTTTATTTCACTTAGCATCAGTTCATATAAGTCTTTCCATGGTTCTCTGTAGTTATTAAATGACTTTTGATAGCACACTAATATTCCATTTTATATGTTCCAAATTTGTTTATCCATTTTGCAAATGTTGAGCATCAGCTTTGTTTCCAGTCTTTTGTTGCAATAAAAAAGTGATGATATATGTATTTTGATGTGTATGGAGTCTTCTTTTATGTCAATAACTTATCCCAAAAGTGTTAAGTAAAAAAAAAAAAGTGATTTTCTTGCAGTTGCTATGCAGAATTTGGCAGAAAAGGAAAGTGCTTTTGTTTAATTTCTTATTGTTTGATAAAATTGTTAAGGATGAAACATTTGAAATAGAAAGATTATTAAAAAGCTCTTTCCCACTAATGAGCCTTCTCCTCTTGCCTGTGAGACTTTCTATAAAATCCTTTATTTGGTTTGTAAAGCTCTCTATAACTTTGCCCCTTCCTAGTTTTCTTACTTTCTAGCACCCTTCCCTCCACCCCACCACATACTCTGTGATCCAGTGACATTTGCCTTGATATTTCTTTCTTTTTCTTTTTCTTTTTTTGCTAGGCAATGGGATTAAGTGCCTTGCCCAGGGTCACACAACTAGTAAGTGTCTGAGGCCAGATTTGAACTCAGATCCTCTTGACTCCAGGGACAATACTCTATCCACTGCATCACCTAGCTGCCACTAGCCTTGATATTTCTTGAATAAGAAACTCCATCTTCCAACTCTAGGCATTTTTCACTGGCTTTCCCCCATGCCTGTAATTCTCCCCATCTCCTCACACCTTCCTCAATTTCCTTCAAGTTTCAGCTGAAATTCTACTTTTTGTAAGAAACTTTTCCCAATCCTTCTTCATGCTAGTGCCTTCCCTCTGTTGCTTATCTCCATTCATTCCTTACATATGTTGTTTGTACATAGCTGTATTGTGTTCTTTCCCCAGTAGATTGTAGCTCCTAGAGAGGAAGGACTATTTTTTTTTTTTTGGTGAGGCAATTGGGGTTAAGTCACTTGCCCAGGGTCACACAGCTAGTAAATGTTAAGTGTCTGGTCTCAGATGGGATTTGAACTCAGGTCCTCCTGACTCTAGGGTCAGTGCTCTATCCACAGCGCCATCTAGCCACCCTGGAGGGACTATTTTTTTTTACCTTTCTTTTTGTATCCCCAGTGCTTTGCACAGTGCCTGTAGGAGCTATTTATTAAATGCTTGTTGACTGACTGACTGACAGACTAGTCTATTTCCAGAGCTTACAGAAAGTTAACAAGCAAATGAAAAAAAAAAACAAAAACAAACAATGGGCACATTAATGAACTACTGGTGGAGCTGTATACTGGTCCAACCATTCTGGAAAATTTAGAACTATGTTTCAAAAGCCACTAAATTGGGCATACTCTTCTATCCGGTGATACAATTTCTAGGCCCATACCCCTAAAGAGATCAAAGCAAGAGTGAAAGGATCCACACGTACAAAAATATAACAGCCATTTTGTCCTGGCAAGGAACTAGAAACTAAGGGACTGCCTATCAATTGGAGAATGGCTGACCAAATTGCAGAATATGCATGTAATGAAATACTACTATGCCGAGAGGACTGAAGGGATGGATTCAGAAAAACGTGGGAAGACTTATGTGAACTGATGTAAAATGAAGTGAACAGAATATAGAGACTATTTATACAACAGCAATGTTATAAAAATGAACAGTCTTGAAAGTCTTAAAACTTTGATGTATGCAATGACTAATCATGATTCCATCTCCTGACAAAAGGGTGACAACACAAGATGCAGAATGAGGCATACATTTTTGGACATGGCCATTTGTTTTGCTTGACTTCGTATTTGTTTCAAGGGTTTTGTTTTTCTTTTTTTCTTCAATTTTTATATGCCATTGTGACTCCTTATTGTGTTTTCCACATCTTTTTCAGAGTGAAATAAAGGCTATCCTGTTCCCAATATATGAATTATTACCTTGAGTGCTTGTAGGGGAGCTGTGGACCATTTTATACACATCTATAGAGAGCCAGTCATGAGCTCTATTTGGATTTTATTCAATTAATGTTAGGTGTAACACAAAATATTTTAAACACTACAAGTGGTCTGAGCATTATTTGATTCATAGTATCCTCTGCCATGTTTTTTGCCACTGTGAAATAACTGTGGACCGTTATGCATTTTTCTTTGTTTTGTGGATTCTGTGGCCAAAGAAGTCATCACCAAGTTACAGCCTACTGGTGATAAAGCTCTCCAGAATTAGGTTGATTGATCCTTTGACAGTAAATATAATTTTTCATAGGGATTTTACTTAAAACCTTTCCAACATAGTGGAACATGCTAGTTTTTGGGCCACTGATATAGCTTTCAGTGATTTAAGGTCAATTTTATTCCACAGTGAATGATCAGGATAGAACTTTTGTGGAGGACTTTATTTATTTATTTATTTATTTTTTGTAGGTGGCACAGTGTATTGGACCTGGAGTCAGTGAGACCTGAGCTCAAATTCAGCCTTAGTTTACCAACTATGAAACTGCATGCCACTTAACTTCTTCTTGCCTCAATTTACTCATTTATAAAATGGGAATAATAATAGCACCTACCTCTCAAGTTTATGTTGAAGGTTAAATGGGATAATATATCTAAGATACTTCATAGACCTCAAAGTGCTACATAAATGTTAGCAATGACTATTATTAGAATATATATGTATGTGCATTTGTGTGTATGGTGCATATGAATACCAGTATGAATATAACTATTAATTGATTTGAAAAAGGATTTTTTGGCTTAGACTTCTACTTTCACTTGTAGGGAATTCTTTGTTTTTTAATTTAATTTTAATTTATTTCTTTCCTCAATTACATATAAACAAAAAAATTTTTATCATTCATTTAAATTTTTTTTTGTTTCAAATTCTTTCTCTCCCTTCTTCCCCCTCCTTGAGAAGGCAAGTAATTTGATATAGATTATACATGTTCAGTGATTGAAAACTTTCCCATATTAGCCATGCTGTAAAATAAAATACCGAACAGCCCCCCCCAAGAATAATAAAGTAAAAAAGTGCTTTAATCTGCATTCAGACTCTATCAGTTCTTTTTTCTGGAGGTAGATAACATTTTTCATCATAAGTCCTTTGGAATTGTCTTGGATCATTGTATTGCTGAGAACAGTATTCATAGTTAATCATTGCATGGTATTGCTGTTACTGTGTGCAATATTCTGCTGGTTCTGCTCATTTCACTTTGCATTAATTCATGTCAGTCTTCTCAAAACTTCTGAAAGCATTCTGCTCATCATTTCTCTATCATGATAGTATTCATCAAAATCATATACCACAGCTGGTTCAGCTGTTCCCCAGTTGTGGGGCATCCCCTTAAATTCTAATTCTTTCCCATAACAAAAAGAGCTGCTATACACATTTTTTGTACAAATAGGTCCTTTTCCTTTGATTTCTTTGGGGAATAGACTTAGTAGTGATGTTTCTGGGTCAAAGAATATGTATAATTTTATAACCCTTTGGGCTTAGCTCCAGATTACTCTTCAGAATGATTGAATTGGTTCACAACTCCACCAACAATGCATTAGTGTCCCAAATTTTCCACAACCCCTTTAGCATTTGCCATTTTCCTTTTTTTGTCGTATTGGCCAATCTGATAGGTGTGAGGTGGTGTCTCAGAGTTGTTTTAATTTGCATTTCTCTAATCAATAGTAATTTAGAATATTTTTTCATATGACTATAGCTACCTTTGATTCTTCTTTTGAAAACTGCCTTTTCATCTCCTTTCACCATTTATCAACTGGTGAATGACTCCTATTCTTATAAATTTGACTCAGTTCTCTGTATGTTCGAGAAACGAGGCCATTATCAGAGAAACGTGTAAAAATTTCCTTCAATTTTCTTGCTTTCTTTCTAAACTTGGCTTTATTGGTTTTGTTAGTACAAATCCTTTTTAATTTGATATAATCAAAATTATCCATTCTATACCTGGCAATGCTTTCCTGTCTCTTGTTTGGTCATAAATTCCCTTATTCATAAAGTTGAAGGGTAAGATGCTTCGTGCTCCTCTAATTTGCTTGTGATATAATCCTTTACGTCTAAATCATGTATTCATTTTGACCTTATCTTGGATAAGGTGTGAGATGATAGTCTGTACCTAGTTTCTGCCAAACCGTTTCCCAGCAATTTTTGTCAGTGATTTCTTGTTCCAAAATCTTGGATCTTTGGGTTTGTCAAAAACTAGGTTACCATGGTAATTTACTACTGTGTATTGTGTACCTATTCTAATGGATCCATGACTCCATTTCTTGGCCAGTACCAGATTATTTTGATGATTACCACTTTGCAATAGACTTTGAGATCCAGTACAACTAGACCACCTTGCTTCACATATTCCCTTGATATTCTCGACCTTTTGTTCTTCCAGATGAATTTTGTTATTTTTTTCTAGCTCTATAAAATAATTTTTTTTGGTATTCGATTGAATAAATAAATTAATTTAGGTAGGACTGTCATTTTTATTATATTGATTCAGCCTACCCCATGAGCAATTTTTATTTCTCTAATTGTTTAGATCTCACTTTATTTGTGTGAAAAATGTTTTGTAATTGTGTTCATATAATTCCTGGGTTTGTTTCGACAGGTAGATTCCCAAGTATTTTATATTGTCTATAGTTATTTTAAATAGAAT